AAGAGGCCTCCATGGACCACAAATATCTTTTCATTTATAACATGAGCCAACGGTAGATAACAGAACACCTCGGCAAAGAGATCCACGAATTTTTCACTCAACTTGGACCGAACTTCACCCTCAAAACCATATATCTTGTTCATGCTCTTGCTCTCATGGTTCCCTCTGGCTAGATAAATGGCTGTAAAAATTGAGCAGAAGCAATTATAAACTTGAACATCGAAGAAGTAGTATATAGCAAGTATTGAGAGTAGTTATAAGAACTTACATGAGGGAGACATGCATTTGAAAGCAAATAGAGTGAGGATGATTTCAACTGAGAAGGAACCTCTATCCACAAAGTCACCATTGAAAAGGTATGGATTCTCCTCAGAAGGGAGGCCATTAAGCTCAAATATATTCAGAAGATCATAAAACTGCAAAATTAAAATAAAGTGTCAAAGGAAAACCAATGCAACACACTACACAGCCATTGCTACTTCAAAAGAATTGAATGTTGTGGATCTCAGATTTTATATGAGTGAGAAATTATGTGAGGAGGGTGGGAGAAACCAAAACCTACCTGGCCATGAACATCCCCGCAGACTGTGAAATGCTTGCCATTAGGTACATTGATATCAACCAGAGAAGGAAGTGCTTGCAAGATTTGTCTTGTCTTTAAGACAATCTGGTACGCATACCTACAAAGATTAGGCATGCAAATTATAAACAAATGAACAATGTTTTGATTAAGTTTAAACTCTACACCAAACAGTACCTACCGTTTATGCAATGTTTTCTGGTTCTTGAAGTCCTCCATCATCTGCTTCACAAAATCCAATGTAACTTCCTCTCCTTCAATTCTAGCACCAGAGTATTGCGGCTCAACCTCTGCAATAAAATTGAAAGAAAATTATCAGGAGAACGAATACAACATCTATAAATAATGTTGACAAACTAAGACAATGGACATGTAAACCAACTTAAATCTATGAAATGATCCACTTTTGTTGAGATGGTTTTGATCAAATATTATTTTAACTATTCAATTCTCAACAGCGAATCCAAGAAAGGAAGCACATCCAGGATTTGATATGCATGAAGTAGATTCACATTGATCCTAGGATGAGGATTTTGACCAGAGAAAAGACACTACTACCACTGAAGCTACCCCACCAATATGTTCCTAATACCACCGAAACCAACACCATGAGTATCTCAGTTGTGGCAAATCCTCGTACAGCCACCACCATCACTGCTGCAACAACTGCTGCTAAAGCCGTTTTGGTGGGCAAGAATGATGATGATCTGGGTTTGTTCCCTATTATGTGACAATAGGGAGAAGATTGATTACTAGTCTAAAGCTACACTCAACCATTTGTCAACTACTGAATCAAACACATGGCATAACAAGAGAAGAAAGAACCAAATGCAAGCTATAAGTCAACAGAAAAATTAACATGGAGTATACCTATTGTGTGGAAGTCCACAGACTCAGCAACGGAGCGCCTTTCAGAAACAGGTACAGAGATTGCTTCTTCAAATTTCATTTTCATCACTGCTTTCTCACATTCTTTTAGCTTTCTCGCCGCGTCAGGGTCATTAGGACAAATCCTTTTCACCTAAAATATAAATAGCAGACCTTGTCACACATACCCTTACACACAAGTCTCTCTTAACAGATACAGAGTCCACCATTAAACTACATTATCACAGATTACTATCAATCTACCAGGATCAAATCACTTAATCAGACCAAAACATCAACTCATGACCTTTACTAAAAATTTTAGATTGAATAGGACAAGAACTATCAGATTGAGAGCTATCACAGAGGAAGAAACAAGATGCTTAAATGGATCAAAGCTAGTACTATAAACAATAACCTGTTGGAAATCTTTCAAGGCATCCTTAAATTTTCCCATGGCAAGATACGCAGCACCACGTCTGTAATACCCCTGTGATTCAGTTTTATAATCAGCAAACAAGGGTGAATGTAAGTCATAATAACAAGAATAAGCAACAAGGCTACCTTGGAGTATTTTGGATCAACTTCAATGGCCTTTGATGCATCCTGTATCGCACTTCCATATTCCTCCAGTTTAGTGTGAGCAAACGCACGGTTTGCCCAATACACAGCGTTATTGCCATTGAGCTCTATAGCTTTTGTATACAGATCGATAGCATTAGAGAACTTGTGACCTGCAAGAAACCAGCAGTACTTAGAGAGCTGCTCTAGAATTATAAAACGGATTCAAAAAGATTCTGTTAATGTTTTAAGCAAAAGTACTAAACCTTTAAAAGCTTCGTTGGCTTGATTCTTCATCTCCTCGGCCCGTGAAGAAACATCAGAGTTCTCATTCTTAGTTTCCATGTTATCAGAATAACCTTATCTCTTAATTAACCAGTGAAGCTAGAACTGATTGCATGTTGAACAATAATCACAATCAGCTACTCAGATTCAATTAAAGTTCTACTTAACAGGGAGCTTTGAAGATTGCAATTAAAGTTCAAATCTTTAAGAGTTTTAGACACATGTAAAGAGAACTCATTTCCACACAAAAAAAAAATCGCATAAAGTCACAAGCTTTAACATTACAAAGCAAAACAGGACAACAAGGCAACATGTGTTTTGTCGGAAAATCGCAGAAGCCCAATTAAACAAGGAGGTAGATTATTATATATAAACCTGAGAAAGGCTCAGACTTGGCGACAGCGGAAGAGGTTTTGACGAGTGTGAGACAGGTTTAGCGAGCGAGAGAGCAACCCTAGATTGGTCAAAAGGAGTTTATAAGCTTTGAATCTACTATGAGTGAGATGGGTTTTTGGAAAATAATTAGTATTAACTTTTCCACTTAACTAATTTACCAGTAAATATTTAAGACAAAGAGATGATGACGTAATACCATTTAAAAAAAAATTATATATGGAAATGAAAAAAAAAATTATACGGATATTTATCTATTTCATTGTTACTGGGCCGTATGAGGCTTTTATCTATTTCTTTTGAGCTTTTTCTTTTATCTTTTGAGCTTAATATACTCTTTTGTATATTTGAGTTCTTGGATTGGTATTTGATTTTCCAGATAAAATAGTTTCGTATTTATATAGGTATTTATAGAGTTTTCACTTAAATCGGTTAAATACCGATAACTTTTTAACATCATTCAGTTCAGTCTTTTGTTTTGCTCAAAATTTATTAAATTTAACTGAATCCCTTATATATTAAAGGAGAAACATTTAAAAAATTGTAACCTCAATTTTGTAATAATTAAAAAAGACCTTATGCTTAGGTGTCACTCAATTAGGTAGTCAATTACATTCAATTGAAAAATAAGTAGGTCCACATTCGATTTTTATATGTCGCTAGATACATTCGTTGGTCAAATTATATGATATGATGATATGATATGATATTTATGATAGAAGCATTTAGGATAAAAGCATTTATGATTATTCCCCTAGATATAAATACTATTTTATTTTCTTTCCATAAATAAAACCTACGGAATTACCATAAATGACTAATATATATATATCACACTTAATGATTCTAATAATAAATATTTGATAACAGTTTATATATCCTCCATCATTTTTCTTTAATATTATATTATTAATGATTCTAATAATAAATATTTGATAACAGTTTATATATCCTCCATCATTTTTCTTTAATATTATATTATTAAAATAAATTAAACAATCAAATTAGCTATAAAATTAAACTTTAGATTTTTTTCGTATAGGATATATTTTGAATTTTAAAAAACGAGAATAAATAACTAAACTATTAAAATTATTATGTTAAAAATTAATGATGAATAGTTTAACATTTTTATTATAAAAAGATATAGATGATTTTAAAACCATATAAGTAAAAAGTATCATTCAATAATAAAACAAATATATATACAGATTAAACTATATACCATATAAGATTACATAAATATTTGAATTTCAATATTTTCAATAAATTTTCAAGAACATTTATAAATTATAAACTTATTAAATTTTTCACATTGAAAATTTTTGTTATCAATGATTTAAATATCTTAGTTCTTTTTTAATTTTATATTTTTAAAAGATATTAACAATCGATAATATGGTTATTTTTGGTATATACCATATAAACCGAATGGATGTGATTTTATAAAAACCATAGGATTTGGATATGGTTTGATTTATAATCGATTAAACTGAAACATGTAAATATGTATATATTTATAACGACGCATGAATATCTATTTGTTACATGAGTTCAACTATAATTATAATTTGTAAATAGCTAACAATTTATTACAACTGAGACTTCTTATTTTGATCTTTTGCTTTTTTAACAGTAACTAAATTGAAGTAAAGATTATAAATTTGATGGACAACAATTAGTTGAAATTCTTTACAACTTTTTTTTATCTTTAAGCAAACAGAGTTGTGTTCAATCGAAGACATATTGGTTTGATGAACACTAAATATGGAAGAATATAAAAACTTTTCTTTCATGCTTCTGTTTTGTTTTTTATTTTTATTTTCAAACTTTAGTGTTTTGATATTAATTATAGATTTGATCATTTTATTAGATGATAGAAGCCTTTTTTGTTTTTACTCTTTTATTTAAATATATAATATTTAATAATAAATGACTCTGTGACTATATGACTCTAAATATGATCATATTATATATTTGTATAATATATAATATGATCTCAAACTAAATAATTATGTTTTTTGGTATAAAATTGAATAAACTGAAAATCAATGGTATATAAACCAAATCAAACTGAAGTACATATAGATTTAGAATAGTAGTTATATTTTAATAATCGAAATACCAAAAAATCGAGTCGAACAGAAACCCGATATCCGGATTGAACACCTCTAATCCGAATGAAACCGAACTATTGTTTCATTTTTCAAAACATAATAAAAATAATAGCTTCATCCCGCGCAAGGCGCGGATTTTATCCTAGTTATACTGTATAAAATAACTAAACAGTCTCGTAGTATCTTTGCTCATAATGAATGAATATAATTTTTTTTTTCATTGAAGTATTGTCTACACAATCTATACACAAATATACAAATACTTTATAAAACAAGAAAGCAAGGAGCAATGTTTCTTGATCCATAATCTTCCATCTCAATGCTTCTTTGTTTCTCTTTCAGCCTAAAATAAACACAAAAGTAATAAAGTTAAAATCCAAAATATGTATTGGATTATATAGAGAACCAGGATATTAATTACCGCTTTGATTGCTTTCTCAACGGAGTCCCATCCAAACCGGTCAACATAATCTTGAACCGATTTTCTAGCATCAAGACTCATCATCTGTAAAACTCTTCTCTGCTCATCTGTATAATTCGTTCCTCCTCCAACATTCATTCCAATCTTAACGTATTTTCTCACATAATTGGAGTAGATGTAAGCTGCACCACTGAACATTGGTAACACTAACCACATACAGAACAAAAGCTTTAAGTATGGCCAAAATGGTAACCTGCAAAATGCCAAAAAAAAAAAAGGATTAATAATCTTTGTTTTTACTCTTAACATTTGTATAAGTATGAATTCTTGCATCTTTATTATTACCAGACAAGGATTCTCCAAACGGATAGCTCGAATATTGTAATTAAGGAGTAAATGATCCAATATGTAAGCCATTGTTGATCATCTAACATTGTTGGACTCTCTATTGCTCGTAACGATGCATACCTACTCATTCACTAAGTTAGTTAATTATTTATATAGAGATATAAACCATCATTAAACGTTTAAATTTTGATATCACGTACAAAGGATAGAGAAGCATAACTCCAGGCCTGCATGCACCAAGAACATGAAGATGTTAAAAAAAAAAGTGGACAAATAAATCTCTTTTGAGAGAAGTTTTAGTATGAAACCTACCCAATTAGAGCATCAAAACGTTTTGCAAGCACAATGATGACACCCATCTCTTCTTTAAAGATTTTATCTTTTCGTTTATCTCCTTGAACAAACGTCTTTAGCACTATGACGTCGGATATATATACACACAAGATTTCGATTTGTACAAGCAAGAATCTTTGTGTGAGTAAAGGTAAGAGGTCAGGTAAAGAATCGATCCAGTCCATTGAGAGGTTTCATGAACCTGTTTTACGTTTCACGAACTTACTACTTCTATTCTCCAAGAAAGGAAAAAAAAATCAGAGTAATTTTGGGTAAACAGGGAAATCTAGAGTGTTGGGTTTAGTATAACACACTTTAAATTATACTTATTTGTCATATCCATTTTTTTTTTTTTTGAGAAAACATATCCAATATTTTTTTAACGAGATTCTTTTCTTGGTGGACATATATTAGTCATCAAGAACTTAAGCATTGATGATATTGTACGTATTACACAATTGTTATCATCATTTCGTCTGCGACTTTGTGAGATTTGGGTAATTCCCTTCTCTAATCTGGAGTCTTTACATAATCTCTATCTTTCTTCACATGCATGGACATAGACTTGTTTTTCATTGCATTTATCCAAGTTCATTAGTCATCGTTTTGTTTGATGAAGATTTGTATTATTTTTTGTCACAGAGCTAGTAAAAGTAATATTTACATTATCTATATCTTATTCATTCTTTTCATAATTACTTTATATTTACAACACAACGGACATAATCACACAATATGAACGAGAATTTTCGTATAGCATATTAATAAATTTTACAACGAAAGTAAAAGGCACCCTACCAACTCTCAAGCTCATTCGTCAAATGCTTTTGCACAGTTTAGAACTTAATTTATGAATGCGTGTTTGTATTTGTAGATGTTGTTGATCTTGGAGAAAAATGAATAGAAAGTAAGTATCAGGGAAAATGATGAGGTATGGGCAAACTCAAAAGAGTTAGTTGCATTATGCAACTAAAATTATTTAATCTATGAAAGGGTTTATGGATAATGACTTTACATATGATAAGTAATCCTTTTTGGGCTCTAGTGCTCTCATATACTTGATTAGTTTCACCAAGCCTAAGAATCTTCCTTTCAATTAGGGCTGGGCAAAAAACCCGGATCCGAAGAACCGAACCGAACCCGATCCGAAAAAGTAGTATCGAATCCGAACCGAAATTGATTCAATATCCGAATGGGTTCAAAATTTTGGTATTTAAAGAACCGAAACCGAACCCGACCCGAACCGAAGTATTTCGGGTACCCGAATATATCCGAAAGAAATTTATATACCTATATATTAGTTATTTTTAGATTTAATGTATATATAAAAAACATTCAATATATATAAAATATTTTGAAGTTATTCAAAATACTTGTAAATATATGTAAATAATCAAACATACATGTCTAAATAGTCAAACATACATGTCTAAAATTACTAAAGTACACTTAAAACATCAAAAATACTTTAAAAAATTATTGTTTCCCAATCCAAATATTCAAATCAAACTAATTTATATGTTAATTTTAGGCATTTTGACTTATGTTATTCAATTATTTGTAATATGTTATTTTCTTTATAGATTTTTAGAAATATAAAGTATATCATCAGTTTTAAAATTTTAAAAATAATTTAAATGGGTTATCCGAACCCGAACCGAACCCGCAAAGATCCGAACCGAACCCGAACCGAAATTTAGAAATATCCGAATGGGGCTAAAATTTGTGAACCCGAAAACCCGAAACCCGAATAGATCCGAACCGAACCCGAATGGGTACCCGAACGCCCACCCCTACTTTCAATGCATCCCATTTACCACCAAAGGGTAAATTTTTTTGGAGAAACGTAAATGCAGAGCAAGAAACTATGACAAATCTACTTTTAAGCTGTAATTGCATATGAGCAGAGTATCTATCAGGCATGTATCATATACTCGTAATCAATATACAATATTCCATAAAGAAAAAAAATCAATTTAGCAATGTCAATACTTAAGTAATACTCTATCTGTGCGGAGAGGGACACATCTCTGTTTTACAAGGATAACCAGTGATTATTAGATAGAGAATAATTTCAAACAGCCAGGTATGGTTCATACTGAGATTATCAATAAGTTACGTCAGTCATAGTAAGATTATAGAGCAAGAAAAAGAACGGCCAGGGCCGTGCCTGAGTACAAGCCAATCAAGCATATGCTTGGGGCCTTGAAGGATTATATGAATAGTAGGGGCCAATTTGTAACAAAAATAATAAAGTAGCTGTGTTGGTTATATGTTTATAAGACATAAACAAGGTGAGCAGTTCGATTTCTTCCTATAACATTTTTAATTCTCATAGCTTTGGGGGGCCAAATAAATAATTGGGCTTCAGGACCTAAAATTCTCAAGCACGGCCCTGAGAACAGCCTTGGATAAAGACAAACTTGGTATATAGGGGTATTCGGTCCTAAACATGATGTCTTATTGTCTCCTCATTACCATGAACATTAACTCAAACATAGTTAATGCAATCTCTAACACTGGTAGAGAGTCGTTACAAAGATATTTGTTCATTGGTTGGTAGAACTTGAGGTTTGAAATTTGAATGCATGGAGACTATCTTGCAATATTTACTCCACGAGTTTATTACAGTAACACCACTCCTCTCATGTACTGTACTGCCCCTTCTTTAATGCTAGCATATCTTAATGTCTGGTCTCTTTTCTATCTCTCACGTACTTGTCTTTTTCTGGAAATTCATCAAGTTGTGACTTGTGAGACACATCACTTAGGTCTGATTATAAAAAATGCTCTAAATTAATGGAGCAGTTATGACATTGTGTGGCTCTATAGGCATGTCAATCTGAGACATTTTACCTTGGTCTATGTATGATAAGTATGAAGTATGTTGAATCTCTTTCCATCAAGCCTCTTCTGATATTAATGTTGATGGTCCTACCTACTTCTAGGTTATTGTTTAGTTTTTATTTGCATTTCTTTGTTGGCTCTTGAACTGTGGTTGAGAAACAGGGGAACTACTAAATAGCACTACCATTATTTAAAATCAAGAAATTATCAAAACAACATCAAATATAAAGGAGTTTCCATCATAAATATTACTAGAAGCTATAGGACACTTAAAGCCTCTACTAAGCACACACACTGCATAGGATAATTAATCAAGATTGTTTTAATGCAAACCAACAAACGACTGATAAATGAGAAACTCTCTTGTTTCTAGTTTCTAGGCTTTAGACGACCTTCATTGGCAAGCTTGAAGGTATGTGCCTGCTTTGTTGCTGCCTTGGTTGAGGAAAGTCCTGCCACAAAGTGGTCTCTAACTTGAGGGGTTGTGAAAGGGAACTTGTTGTTGACCATGGAGTTTAACCAAGACGCTGTGCCTTCACGGTAGAGACCTCCAATAGCATCGGTGCGGGTATTGGAAAGTGCCTGGAGAAGGTTCATGTGAGGATCAAACCCTGGAATGGTACTGGAAGTACTGACTGTACCAAACGCTCCTCCAACAGTTCCCCACCAGCCAAGAAGACCCCATATGAGTGTAGGGTGGTTTCTCCAGTAACTGCACAAAGATTATAAAACTCATGAAGTGTGAAACCACTTGAAATGTGTTAAGAGAGAGGAAGCTTTGTTACTTACTCGCATGTTCCAGTGATTGGTGGGAATGGAGCAGGAACAAAAGGAGTTCCAGGAGTGCCAGGATCAATAATAGGAGTTGGTGGGCTTCCTCCAACGACGGGTGTGCCTGGATCAACAATGGGTGTTGGTGGAGTCACAACGACTGGTGTACTTGGTGGAGGAGATGAGTAATATCCACCAGTAGGAGGCGTTGAAGGGTGTGAAGGCGTGGAAGGATGTGAAGGTGTAGAAGGGTGTGAAGGTGTGGAAGGATCGTGTGGTGGAGTCCCACAGTTACAAGGAGGCGTGTGGTGAGTTGGTGTGTGTGGTGTTGGAGTGTGAGATGGAGTCGAAGGAGTTGGAGTGTGAGATGGTGTTGAAGGAGTTGGAGTGTGGGATGGAGTTGAAGGTGTTGGGTCGTAAGGTGGACTTCCACAGTTAGGAGTGGGTGTGTAACCGCCGTGTCCACCTGCTTTTCATGTCAAACAAAAACAAAGATTCAAATAAAAGATGCTAAAAATCAAGATTCTTGTTACATAGAAAAAATGGACTAGGTGTGTGTTTTTTTGCTTACCAGAGGGAGGAGAGTAGTATGTTTTCTCATCTTCGACCCTTATGGAAGCAACAGAAGCAAACAGCTGCTGGGAGAGTAAAGCAGCAAAGAGAGCCCAAATGGTAAGACTCTTCATCCCTCTCATTTCAAGAACTCACTGAAATAACACAGAGAAAGCAGAAGCTTTGTAAGTGGTGTGTGTGATCTTTGGTGGTCGAATGATACTGGAAACTAGGGTTTATAAATAGAGGGAAGCAAAGGGTTTTTTGAAAGTTTGGAAGTAAATACAAACAGGTGGAGGAGTGTGTGGTTAGTTGATATGTTACTGGTGCATTTACAACTCCCATTTAATACCCATGGTGATTGCAATAATACTTAAAATTCTGCACAAAATAAATTATGAAGATTAAATATATAATATTTCATGCAAAGGTATGGACGCGTATGAGAAGCTGTCTCCCATATGACTGACTTATCTTGCTATCCGTATTTCTATTTACGTTTCATTTTATCAACTCGATCAGTACGTTACTAATGCTTACAGGACATTTTGGTATATAAAATGCAAGGAAGCTCTGGTATCACGTGAAGCTGATTAATCCAAGTAAGTTTCCACTCTTGTGAGTGCTTAAAAAGTAAGGCAAGCCTCAAATCAAGAATCTAGGTAGGCTTAGCGTAGACCCTTTTGTGTTTGTGCTTCTCTAAGATTAGGCTGATTAGCTAAGGACATACTTAAATTAGTAGTCACTTAGCGTTAAAAGAGAAGTCAAGCTACATTTATGTCTCTTCTTGATTTTTTATGTTGGACAGTAAAATCAAGATTAGATAGTAATCATTGGTTTATATAGATAGTAGTTTTTCGAGTTTTAATTAGCATAGTTACTGGTTTTCACCTAAATATGTAGTTTGCATTCAAGCGGCATTTAAGTTTGAGTAACAATAAGAGTGATAAACAGTAGATACAGCTAGGCTAGCATGTGGAGATGCAGAGGGATAAGAGGACCCACAAAGAAGAAATAAGATGAATCTTTTGATTAGAGATTAGAAAACATATGGAAAAAATAAAAAGTAGTAATAGTATGGTAGGTTAAGGTGGGTCTGTTTATAACCAGTTGATGTATCACAAAACAATTCACTTCTCTTACTGTATTTCTTCTCTGGATTTGCTCCTTTGGCTTCTGTATTTTCTTACACTATTGTAATGTGAATAATTTTGTAAAACTGATCTTTTAACAATTATTCTAATAAAACACAAACTGTTTTCCCGCTAATGCCATTTGATAATTATTGATTCTTACAATTGAACTAGTACAATGCATATTAAATTTCAATAAACTGTAACCATATATTTATTTCAAAACTTAATTGGTTAAATGCTCTTCTTTTCAGGACTGCATTGAATTTACGAGCTAATTCCCCAAGAAAATGTCCTAATTAATGACCCCAAGCATATGTCGGATCCGACATATTTTGATTAGTGCCACATGGATTACGATCAATTTTTGTTAGTACAAATTCATGATTAGAGTCTTTTACCCATGTAGACACTAGACTCCACGCAGAGCCGACGTTAGACGAATCCGGATGAAACATTAGTTTTGACTCCAATTTTTTTTCTTTTTTTTTAAATTACATGTAGACAAGTTCCAAAAAACAAAATTTAGATTCTTAAATCCGTGAAAAAATTTAAGACGAAATTATGAAAAATCACTTCAAGTTTCATAATTTTCAGAATCGACCCTGACTCCACGTGAATATTCAGATATATATCCCTTGTTAGTTGTAGGGTATGACAATCTATTTGCAACTTTAAAAATAAACTAAACCATCATTTCCATTTTCCAATACGAATTTATTCAACTGGTTTTGAGAATATAACAAGAGTCAAGATGTAACATTTGAAAGTATGTTACTTACTATATCAACTCAACACTATTAGGCTTTTAGCCTTTTACACACATGACATGGCACATGTAATGTATAATATATACAAAATATGTTCATATGTTTTATTCTCTTACCATATTAGGCTTTTACACACTTGTAATGTATATATATTGTAAATTTCTGACGAAAAAAAAAATATATATATATAAGTTTGTTAATGTGTTTAAAGCGGTGTAATTTCATCAACATGATAAATGGTGAATTAAATTTGAAAGGAAGCGTTAGGTGATTTCTACTAATGGTTAGAATGGTTCAATCTGAATTACTCCAAGACTAGAGAAACAACACATACGGACAAATTTCATTTTAGGCGTTCAAAGCGATCCGACCAACCAAATGCACTAAATTAAAAGCGTCGACCATTTAAAGAATCAAAGTCTTGACTACCAAATATACACATAGCATATGTCCATCCAACAAATATTATATGTGTGCGCCTACCTATATGCCAAAGTTGTATATTATTAATATGCATTAAATTGGGTTCGCTAACCGATCATAGATAGAACAATACGGTTGATGATGATTGACGACGTCCATCATAACGTCGTATAATTGTTGTTGTCAATGTCAACCATCATCATCATCATCAGTTCTTGCGGCTGCTATTCTTCTGCAACTAACTATACTTCTCTATCTTGAGATAATCGCATCCTTTGAATAGCTAAACTAATATTATTCATCATGAAACCGAATGGATAGGCCAAGAAGAGATTAGCTTCTACCGCTCAGCAAAATCCCTAACGTTTACTATAGTCTTTGAGTGTTAGAATGAGACTAAAGTGGAGCTTGAAAAGTTGGGGGCCTTTGAGAGGATTTTAGAAGTAGTAGTCTTCGCTCTACCGGTTGAGTTTCCTTGTTCTAGGTTTGCTAGAGCGAAGAAAGTTAGGCAAGTTGTCGTGAGACAACTAAGTTGTTTTATAGGCCCAGGACCGGACATATTAAGCCCAAATAGAAACATAGCTAAGGCAAACTGTATCGAGTCTTACTCTTGTAGGCTTGTAGCCATGTAGGATGTGATTAGTAATAAACAAATACTGCATCAATGATTTTTTAGTGAAGGACTAAAAGTTAACACTAATGATTTACAACTTATTTTGCCGTTTTATATAATTGTGTTACAACTTACTTTAAATATCCATTACTCAAGTGTCTTTAAGAGTTTTAACTATAGTTACATTAATATTTTATAACTTCATTTAAAGATAGCTAGATGAGTAGTTTTTTTTCAAATTATTGTTTACTAAACAGTAAACACGTAATTTTGACCTGCTCGTATATAAGTCGAAAATCCAAGTACTTTTTGTTTTGTAATTTGGATAATTAAGTTGGTACGAAAAGTAATAGCTTCTGGCTATATGTGTGGAATAAAACTCGTTTTTAGGCATATTATTACCTTACAAAAAGTTATAGCGCGAGAATGATTTATGATTGTGCATAGAGAGATAATTATTGCAGGATTGTAGAATTGTGTAATGTATGTGTACAATGGATATAAACATGAACTCAAATCTTGGACAACTAAACCATGGATCTCAAATCCAATGTGTTTATCTAAGCTTAAATAAATATCAACCGACATTGAAATCTTTGTTGTATAGCATGTGAAATGAGCTCACACAAATTTTAAAATAATGGGCCACGTAACGTTAACTTGCCCAATATAATTAAATGCCAAATCTCAAATGCAAGTGCTAGTGTGCTACCTCGTGATTCAATTTAATTTCTATATGGCATCCAACTAAATCTCAAGTTTTGACGTCGCCCAAGTAAATGTTAAGTTAGAGTATAATAATCCCTACATTTATAGTAATTTCGTTAATATTATATTAGAGCATGTGCAATGGGGAATCCTTAGGGGAGTCCTTAGGAAAAAAAATAAAAAAGGGTATTCTAGATTATATAAAGATATTTCAGATTTTTTCTTTAAAAAAAATTAAACTGACCACTCACGGACCGCCACGTGTGCAGTGGAGCCCATGAATAGTGTAAGGATCAATCCTTACATAAGGATTTTTAGACTAAAATCCTTAACTATTCATGGGACCCAGTGATTATAAAATTAATATTTTTCTAAGGACTCCCCCTAAGGATTCTCCATTGCACATGGTCTTACTTTGTAGTATATCACAATCAACACTTCTCATGACTCATGAGGCCTGACTATGAACCGGCTTAGATAAATAAGAACATTGATGCTTGCTAAAGAAAAAGATTTCGAAGAGAAAAATGCTGAGATCTCTTTCCCCTTACATCAAAGCTAAAAGCCATATTAAAAGAGTTAATTAAAAATAAAATTAAATAAAAACATACTTTTCTTCTTAACCAAAAGAAAAGAAGAACAATCTTTGGTGTCATCATCATCTTCAACCTCCAAACTTCATATCTTGTTTATCTAAGCGTTCGAGAAATGAAGTGAGGACTTTAATGGTTTTGATTTGACATTGTAGAGACATTATGTAACCAGCTGTCTCTTCAAAGAGCGCGTCCACACCAAGCGCCGTTCCTCCGGGAATAATCCTTTGCAACGCCTCAATCTTCTCTTTTACCTCTTCTTCATCATCTTCTTCTTCTCCGGAGACACACACGCTTGCCTTAGTTTGCGACAATCTACGTTTGGTTCTACGCTCGAAACCACCGGTGCATGATATCACAGCGGCTGAAGATGACGGTGAAAGAGATCTAGCGTTGTCGGGAGTTGCTAGAGTTTTCTCCATTTTTTTAGAGAGAGAATTGATGTGTTTCTGAGAGAATAATGAAGAAGTAAGGAAAGTGCATGTGTATGTGTGTATATATGTATGTCAATGGATTTAGTGGATGTAAATTATTTTGGCCGGTAGTTAAAATTTTTTTGGCTGGTTCGATACCAAACTACTTTGGTTATCATGATTTAATTAGTATTTTGTAAGTAGATAAACGAGTTGAGTTTGAAAAAGAAAACATGTATTTCATTCATCAGTTATTTGTAATTGCTTACTACTATCGCTCGTGTATAATAATAGTACTCCAAAAACTTATAGTTGATTATGCAAAAACTATGGTGGTGTGGTTTATTACCCTCCTCCTTGCATAATTTTTTGCTTACTTCGGTACAATGTTTGGATACGAATTTTGGTTTGGTTTGTCAAAAAATACGATGTAAAAACTTCGATTTTAAAAAATTATAGTATTTTAGTAAGGAGAAATATTTAATATTGACATCAAAGAGCTGGGTCCAGATGTATGTTTTTATAGTATTTTATCATCCTCGTGTTTTGGATTGTAGGGTT